CATCACAACCACATTTCAGTCCCTGAATCACACTCATTCATCCAACCATCCATCCATTCGTCAAAACATTCATTCATGGATTCATTGAACCACCATTTAACCATCCATACATCCACCTTCTCAGGACAACATCTGCTTGAACTTTAGCCTATCTATAAAACCAACTTTTCACCCAGAAAGCAAAACTCTTTCTAGAATCCATCATTCCATAGAATCACAGAGTCACAGAATGTTTGCGTTGGAAGGGACCGCAAAGATCATCCAGTTCCCACCCCCCTGCCATGGGCAGGGACACCGTCCTACACCAGTTTGCCCAAAGCCCCATCCAGCCTGACCTGGCACACTGCCAGGGATGGGGCAGCCACAGCTTCTCTGGGCACCCTGTGCCAGTGCCTCAGCACCCTCAGTGGGAAGAATTTCTTCCTTGGATCCCACGGAAATCTCCCCTCTTCCAGTTCAAAGCCATCACCCTGTGTCCTGTCACTCCGTGCCCTTGTCCAAAGCCCCTCTCCAGCTTTCCTGTAGCCCCTTTAGGTACTGGGAGGTGCTGGAAGGTCTCCCCAGACCCTTCTCTTCTCCAGGCTGAACACCCCAACTCTCCCAGCCCGTCTCCATAGCAGAGGTGCTCCAGCCCTCGGGTCATCTTCGTGGCCTCCTCTGGACTTGCTCCAGCAGCTCCATGTCCTTCTGATGTTGGGGACCCCAGAGCTGAATGCAGCACTGCAGGGGGGTCTCAGGAGAGCAGAGCAGAGGGGCAGAATCCCCCACCTCGACCTGCTGCCCACGCTGCTCTGGGTGCAGCCCAGGGCACGGTTGGCTCTCTGGGCTGCCAGCGCACAGTGCCGGCTCATGGTGAGCTTCTCACCCACCAGCACTCCCAAGTCCTTCTCCTCAGGGCTGCTCTCCATCCATTCTCCGCCCAGCCTGTCCTTGTGCTTGGGATTGCCCTGCCCCACGTGCAGGACCTTGCGCTTGGCCTTGTTGAACTTCATGAGGTTCA